CCTTCTGTATATCGATGAAACACATAAATAAAGGCTTGTTGTATTCTCTGCACTTTTCCATCATCATTTTTACTACAAAAATTTGATCAATTGTTGATCTATTTGCTCTAAAACCCGCTTGTTGTGACAGCAACTGTTTATCGATCAGAACTTGAACACGATTTAGAATCACGCGGGTGAAGAGTTTACTTGCCACTACCAGCAGAGATAGGAACATTTAGTGATGAACCTCTGGTGCCTAAAAATCATCCTCTGAAGAAGAGGGAAGGCGGGTGCTACTTAACTCAGCTTTCAATCACAATAAAGCTATAAACACTATTGAAAGCACTATTTTCTGAACGTACGCAGTCGATAGTACATAAATCCGTCAGAAATGGAAAATCCAAAAGATTGTCTAAAAATGCCCTTTGAAAATGCCACTCCGGCCCATTCTGGACTATCTGGCAAGACGAGAAAAAGAAAGATGAGAAGATTCACATTTTTTGGATATTATTTTGTCTTCTCACATGCACCTCTTTTTGAATGACATTTTGTTGAACATGCGACTCCTGCTTTTTTACATCGACAGTGCTTTGTCGGACATTTCGTTTTAAAATCACACATTGCTCCACTTACCGCTCCACGAACAAACAATTTTGACGCTTCTATCAAAGTAAATTCATCTTTAAGTTCAAACACATCTAAATTTTTTAAATCATCAGGACAAGCTGTTCTTAGACCAACAAGACTTTCAATGGTGAACCTAGTTGATAATAAACCAAATTGACATGCTAATTAAAAAATAATATGTTCACTTTTTTGTTCTTTCGAAAGAATTAAACAAGGTAAGATTTTTTGGATCAGTATTCGTTCTGTCAATATCAGGAATTTTAACACCGACACAATCTCTTCAAAGGAAGGACCAGATTTTGTGTGTTGTGTCTGCAGTAGAATGATGCTTGAGAATCAGTTGTTACTGCATGATAAATCAGTTTATGTTACTGTTTACGAAGACACCAGTTGCGAGCATAGTAGAATACATGTTGCTGTTTCTCATTCATTGTTCTCAGTAAATTCAAACGTTGTCCTGAACAATAACTTATTTGATGTGATCTAAATTCGTTGAAGGTTTCACAACTTTATTCGGAAACATGGTATTAAGATCAGCATTTTCCTCATTTCTTGATTCGCGTAATTGTTCAACCACGCGATGTTTTCTATGTATCATTAACGCCCATCCTTCAATCTCACTCGCCTCTGCTACTTTTCGAAATGTATCTTCCATTGCCTCTAAGTCTGCATTGTATGTCTCATACTTTGCCGTATTCTCATCAACAGCAGGTTTAACTCTTTCAATTGTATTGCCAGCAACATCCAGAAAAACCCAAATTTCATAAAATTGCTGATACGAATCTCCCGTTTTTAAACCTTCTAGTGAATCAATTGATAAAAGCAATATTAATATATTCTCGTAATAATCTCCCGGCTGTAGAGCCCATCGGGTCCATGATTTTTGGACCCGAACCCGGACCCGGTGATAAAAATTTATTCAAACCCGGACCGGACCCAGACCCGGTTGGTTAAATTTTTTTGGACCCGGACCCGCTCAAACAAAATTCTCGGATCCGAACCCAATAATTAATTCTTTGTGATTCGTGCCCGAATCACTCATTTGAGATCTATAATGCAAAATTCTAGTTCGGATTTGATAACTGATCCAAAGATAAGATATCCTTTTTTTTTATTTTTTATGTTCGACAAGTAACATATTCTTTAAGTCATCCGATAGTCCGATAGCGATTCTATAATAATTAAATCAAATTCGTTCGTATTAGTTTCTGTCGAAGAATACAAATGTATTTAAAAAAGTTTCATTATTCTTTTGTATAACAACTATTTTATATTATAGTAGTCGTTCTCTTTGCTTTACTTAATAAAATATGTATACAAAAATCTAAAAAAAGATCATGAGTTTATTGCTAAATATTTTTTGAATAAAAAGAACAGAAATAAACCAAAATAAAAATAATGGAATTATTTTTTATAGTGGATTTTTTTCTGGCTAATAAAAATTTATAGACCCGGACCCGTTGAATTCAAAATCTTCGGACCCGGACCCGATGGGCTCTACCCGGCTGCCTCTTCTTACTAAATCGCATAAATCGTATTATTGCACTGTTTTCTCGTCTGTTACTACGAACGATAAGCGTTGTAAACGTTTGCTATGTACTCTGTTGCATGGGTTTGAATCAATGTAGTACAAGGCACAAAAATCAGCTAAGCAAATGTTAAACTCTTGTCCGTTTGGGCGATCGAAATATTTGTCAACCATGTTTAAGTAGTCAATGCCAGTGGAATCCTCAGGTAAATTTTCCTGTTTTAGGTTTCAAAAATCTAACACAACTCGAATGTGCTGAAATATAAACAACAGCTCGACTACACTGTTTTAAATTCATACCTGTGGCTCTTATTACTGCCTCTTAAATTGAAACTGATCTGTGGTTAAAGAAAACATTCGTTAGCTTTTTCATTTGCTCCTTCGCTGAGGCATTATTTTCCTTTGCTTCTTCTAAAGCTGTTTAGTCGTTTCATTATTCAAGTCGTTTTCATTATTATAGCGTTAAGAAGAAAAGATAGTTTTTTTGGCGTGGAGATTATCGCATCAGGTGCTCTCATTATTTCTTAAATTCTACGCCAAAAAAACTATCTGTTGCTCTCAATGCTATAATAATGAAAACGACCAAAACTCGCAGTTATAGAACAACAGATAAAAAAATGAGTGAGATGTAGTGTACCTCAGCTTTGAAGTAGCAAAGACTCGAAGAATACGTAGGCTCTTTCGCCGAGGAATAATACATTTTGAACATGCTACGCAGTATTTCGATTAGAAAAACGCTTCAAGTAAAGGTACTTACAAAAATGTGCTGAGAAACAATAGTTTTTAAAGTGCACCTGAAAAGAACGGTTCCTAATGCTTTTAAAAATATTCCAGGGAAGAACACGTTTTGAAAGTGCTCCTCACAGTAGCATTTTGAATCTGCTTCAAAAAGAAAGCATGATAAACCGTGCTTTTTAGATACACATTTTTTTACAGTGTACAGAAAAAAGAAAAAACATTTCAGATTATTAAATTAAATATAATACTAAAGAGAACAATATTTTCAGCCGAAAAAGGACAATATTCAGACTCATCACCGGTGTATGTATCGAAGAAAGAAAGAAGAAAATACAATAAATGAACGATGTATTGAAATAAAATAAATCAAACAATAGACTTTCAATCAGTGGTCCCCATAGACATAAACAAACATGGGATACAATGAACGGATTCTTTGACTGTCAGGATAATGACACTAGATTACTGTTACACGTGTATGCGAATCTTTAAAACAAATAAAATCTACAATTCTACTGCAACTATAATTGAAAATTCTAATATGGAACTAGATCCTCTAGTAACTGCATAGAAAAAATTGATCTTCAATTACTATCATATCCGTATATTGAAGGAAAAGTGGATAGACTGATATTTAGCGTATTAGTGGTGGACTGATAAATGTTTCCACAGATGTTTTACTATCTTTCTTTTTCTTTCTTCGTTAAATTTATTCGATAAACATTCATTGCCAAAGTGTAAAATAAAAAATAAAAAGTGACGTAGCTTAATATAACAAAGTAGTTAAAGTTAGTTGATCAATGTTTGATTTCTAGTAAAAATGTTTAGTAATAGAGAAAATTAAGTATGCTGAAAACATTTATTAGTTTAAAAAAAGTGCATTAATATGGTTTCAGTTTAGCTATTTTCTTGAACAGAAAATAGTTCCACATCCAAATGCGTATACATACCTATTAAAGGCGAAGAAAACTAAATCACATAATTTAACTGGTGATACTTGTTTATTTTATACGAAAATTTTGTGTTACGCTGTTGGCACTGGGTACATATACATAAAGTTAGATAGATGTAAACTATCAAAAACTAAGATAACCTAAAACATTTTAAACTGCTCTCAAATGTGTTTATTTTTAATAATGATGCTTGTCATTCAATCGATAAAGTACTCAAAAGAGAGCATTGTGTGGGCCAATTTTTGTCCTTAATCAAATTCAAACTCTATTGGGTCAGATGCTCGTAAAATGTCATTATTAGTATTATTAGATTCCGTATGAAGGAAAAATGTGTAACCAGAGTAGAATCGAATCAGGAACCTTGACATTCTAAGTTGATGCCATTAGTCCTACTTTCCTGGTCTATGTAAAGGCGGGATATATCACTTTTTGCCAGTGAATTTATCTATCTTCTGCTTTCTTTTTTTCCTTTAATAGTCACAACAATCTCAATTAACAATAACTGCAATTAAACTTCAACGTTACGTATTCTTTTCACTAACAAATCCTCCTTTCGTTTAAAATATCTAATACTTTTCTTTTAACTCTCTCCCAAACGAAAATTCTCTTATTAACAAAATCGCATTCGCGTTTCTATTAAATTTCTCTACAAAAACAACTGGCACCCGACAACTGCATGTACAAAAAGCTCCAGAGTGCAAGATACATTTTCATTTCATCTCCGGCGCTTACGGTATGGAATCTGGCCCTTTAGGTGATATCAAAATGTCCCTTGGTCAATTTCGAATGTCGGCGAGAATATCCCAGCACTTTCAGAACTTTTCTAGCTGTCATACATCTGTAGATATTCCAGTGCACTTTTCGAACAAAAAAAGGACCAAACAACAAGAAAAAAACAAAATTCCCAGCAAAAAAACATGATGTATCACGACATAAGAACAAAAACCCTACCAAAAACCCACATTGTTTGTCCACATAAACACTTCCAAATAAAGTCCGTTCTTTATCACCGAACACACTCCACCATACTAATGCCCAAAACATCCACCCAACACACACATCATCGATCATTCAAACCCTGCCTCTCCAGAGCCCTTAACAAGTAAAGACTACAAAAACATAACTAACAGTCCCATCAACGCCAGCGCAATTCACAAACACTCAGCACCATCATACTATTCATCCATCTGTCATATATCCCATGCCACCACATGACAATTCACTTTCGCCATAGCAATGCTCATCTGACGACGACGAGGTAGCCAACAACTGACTGAATGATGATGCAGCTAGTGGAGAATGCCAATCAGCACCACGATTACACTGCACATCTATCACCGAGATCTTTCTTGGCATCAGATGACATTTCACTTTCGTCACAGCCATGCTCATCTGACGACGACGAGGTCGCTAACAACTGACTCAGTCAAGATGCAGCTAGTGAAGCACACCTAAGATTGCACCGCACATCTATCTCCCAGATGTTAAATGGCACCAAATGACAGTTCACTTTCGTCACAACAATGCTCATAAAACGAAGACGAGGTCACGAACAACTGAGTCAACGATGATGCGCCTAGTGAATAATGCCAATCAAGATCAGCAGACTATTCACCTGTCGCCTAGATGTTGCATGGCACCAGATCATACTTCACTTCCGACACAGCATTGCTCATCCGAGGACGACTAGGTCACCAACACGTGACTCGCTGATGATGCACCTACTGAAGAATGCCAAAGAAGATCATCAAGATTACACTGTAGATCTATCTCCTAAATGTTCCATAGCACCAGACGACAGTTCACTTTGGTCACAACAATGCTCATATAATGACGACGAGGTCAACAACAACTGACTGAATGATGATGCACCTAGTGAAGAATGCTAATCATAACGACACCCGTCATCTGTCGCCTGGATGTTCAACGGCACCAGATGACATTTCTCTTCCGTCACAGCAATGCTCATCTGACCACGACGCGGTCATCAACAACTGACTCAGTGATGATGCACGCAGTGAAGAATACAAATAACGAAACTGCTCATCTATCGCCTGGATCTTCCACGGCACCAGATGACATCTCACTTTCCTCACGGCAATGCTCATCTCACCACGACCACGTCGCCAATAATTGACCCAATGATGATGCAGCTAGTGAAGAATGGCGACTAGCAGACCATTCATCTATCTCCCAGATGTTCCATGGCATCAGATGACATTTCACTTTCGTCACAGCAATGCTCATCTGACCACGACGAGCTCTCCAATAACTAACTCAATGATGCTGCAGCTAGTGATGCATGCTAATTATTAGCCGACTATTCATCTATATCCCAGATGTTCGATGGCATCAGATGACATTTCAGTTTCGTCACAGCAATGCTCATCTGTGGACGACGAGGTCACCAACAACCATCTTAAGGATGACGCAGCTAGTGGAGAATCTGAACGATTACACTGTAGATCTATGTCCTACGTGTTCCATGGCACCAGATGACATTTCTCTTTCGTCACAGCAATGCTCATCTGACAACGACAAGGTCTCCAGCAACTGACTCAATGGTCATGCAGCTAGTGGAGAATGCCAACGATTACACTGTACATCGGTCTCCTAGATGTTCCATAGCACCAGATAATACTTCAGTTTCGTCGCAGCAATGGTCATCTAACGACGACGAGGTTACCAACAACTCTCTCAGTGATGATGCAGCTAGTGAAGAATGCCACCGATTACACTATACATCTATTTCCTGGATGTTCCATGGCACCAGATGACATTTCAGTTTCGTCATACCAATGCTCATCAGTCGATGACGAGGTCACCAACAACTGACTGAGTGAAGATGCAGCTACTGAAGAATGCCAACCACGATCATAAGCAGCAGGCTATTCATCTATCTGCTAGGTGTCCCATGGCACCCTATGATATTTCACTTTTTCTTCACAGCAATGCTCATCTGACGACGATGAGGTCGTCAACAACTGTCTCATTGATGATGGAGCTAGTGAAGAATGCCAACGATTACACTGTACATCTGTCTTATAGATGTTCCATGGCATCAGATGACATTTCACTTTCGTTACAACAATGCTCATTGGTCGACCACGAGATCACTAACAACTGACTCAATGATGATGCAGATACTGAAAAATGCGAAGCAGCATACAATCCATCTATATCCTAGATGTTCCATGGCACCAGTTGGTATTTCACTTTCGTCATAGCAATGTTCGTCTAACTACGACGAGGTCACCAACAAATGACTCGCTGATGATGGTGGTACTGAAGAATGCCAATCACGATTACACTGTATATCTATCTGCTTGATATTCCATGACACCAGATGATATTTCAGTTTCGTCGCAGAAATGCTCATCTGACGATGAGCAGGTCACCAATAATTGACCGAATGATGATGCAGTTAGTGAAGAATGGCAATCAGCAGACAATCCATCTATCTCATAGACGTTCCATGACACTAGATGACATTTCCCTTTCGTCACAGCAATGGTCATATGACGAGGAGGAGGTTACCAACAATCGTGTCAATGATGATGCAGCTAGTGAAGAATGGAAATAAGGAAACTATTCATCTGTCGCCTAGATGTTCGATGGCACGAGATGACATTTCACTTTCGTCAGCGCAATGCTCATCTGACGACGACGAGGTGACCAACTACTGACTCGATGATGATGCACCTAGTGAAGAATGCTAAGCACGATCAACCGGCTGTTCATCTATCTCCTGGATGTTCCATGGCAGTAAATGACATTTCGCTTGCGTCACGGGAATGCTCATGTGTCGACGAGGAGGTCATCAACAACTGACTCAATGATGATGCAGCTGGTGAAGAATGCAAAGCGGCCGACTATTCGTCTATGTGCTGGATCTTCCATGGCAGCAGTTGATATTTCACTTTCGTCAGAACAATGCTCATGTGATGGGAAAAATTGGCGAGGAGGGAAAGTTAATTTGGCGTGGGTGTAGTAAGGTTGTGATTCAGTAATTTCAAATAAACATGGGTTTTGGTTTTGGTTTTCTTGACTTGCAATATTTGAAATATGGTTGCTGGCCGTAGTAGAACCTGTTCTTCGTCGTGGAAATGGGAAAGTGACGCTATGTCTAATCCGCTGTTTTCGGCCGCGTCGATGATGAATAAGGTGTTTCCGTAGATTTCGGCTAGCTGACGATTTTTGGTAGTTGAGGTAAAGCCATTCCAGCATCTGTAGCTTCCGATCTTTTTCGCATACGTTTGCAGCGTGTCCTGATCGATGTTTACACCTCGATACAGTTCCGCTGCGTGTTTTGTATCAGTTTTTAGCGAGCTTCTGAAGAGAATGTAACAAAATGGTCCCAAAGTGTCTATTTTACTCGCGTCGGTTTCTCTGAGTGCTTTATTTATTAGTTTATATAGAAAGCATTCCATTGTATATAGGTGAATGCAACACTTGTAAACTTCTTCTCTCCTTTCGTTTTTTACGGCTATTAGTTGGCGAGCGAGATATTCTGACTCACGATGTTTTCCTAGTTGTTTTCCTTCGATAATTATTCCATTCGCTGCCTGCTCTACTATTTCAGCGTCAGAAAGTTCCTTGTCTTTCTTCCACTGTGAAAGAAAAATATAAGTTTCTTTGCCCCAGTCATCATTGAACGTTTTACTCAATGCTGGTGGGAAAAAGAATCTTTCTTCTCTTAAACCTGGACTTTCATTTCCACTAGTTAGAACCCGTTTTATTTGCCGTTGTTCATTTGGATCCGATTTACTGATTTGAATGCAGTCGTTTAAGTTAATCGAATAATTCTCCAGTTCAGCTAGTTTTGTTTTATTCTTTTGATTAAATGCTTCTTCGATAATCGCTGATTCGATATCAGCATATTTTGTCCATTCTTTTTTTCCATTTGTTGACCATGGATCAGAATTTGATTTCCAATACCATTGAGCTCGTGGTTGATCAACTCCTTTTATCGCCTGACTTACCATTTATTAGACTGTTTGGAACTGATGGGTCCTAGAAACGTCCTCTAGAAAGGACACGGGGCAAGTAGCAGAATATTCTGTAATTGAAGAAACACTTGTTCAGCTTTTTAAGACCAAGTCTGATTATGTTTACATTCTATTCTTTAGTGGAACTGGCACTTGTTTTTGCAGTTTAGTACATAGTAAAAGTGTAACGAAATACATCTGGAACAGAAAACAAAACGTTTCAACCAAGGCATCTTCTCTATGGTTTAGATAGTACCCAGGCCGATGATTCCAAAGACAAGTTCCTGAAAGATCCGACAGGATCCTACACCGGAGCATGCCGGAATCCGATGAAATCTGGCACAATCCTACCAAAAGCATGCTGTATTATGTCGGAATCTCGACCGGTGTTGTTTGCAAAGTTCTTAATGAAGCACGCCTTCTTATGCAACACGTAGAGGCATCAAATGACTGCTTTAGTTTCAAGATTAGCGCTCAAATTTTCGTTTTTAATCTTCTTATTTAGAGGCTCCTGAATCTGTTTGAGAGAGATCCTTCCAGTGAGGAACAAACAGGACAAGTTGATATGTTATGATTCACCCCGGACAGTATCAACAACGTTGACGTACTCATATGACATGGACAAATATTAATTGCAATCATCTGCGTATTTTTCCTAATTTCTCTAATTTAATCTAACAGTGACATAAACAACAGTGTCATGATGAACGCAGTTAGAAAATATCGACTTTGTATGAGAAAAATGTCTTAGTGCTGTATGGAATTGAAACATGAAATACCTTTTACTCATTGTAATCGAATGAATATTTTATTCTTTTAAACGCACATTAGTCAGGCACTCACTCTGTTTCTTATTCTGATGAAAGTAAAACAAAAGCAAAAATGGTATGTTTTCTTTTCACTCAATACCTTTCCAAATTGAATTTCTGCATCTATTTACACAACTGGAACAGAGACGATATTCTCAATGACTTTTTATTCTATTATTTTATTTAAAACTCATTTCTGCCCTGAGAGAATTATTGAGAATTCCAAGAGAGAAAGCTTTGATAATATTTATGTCGACAGACATTATGTGTTTTTGTAGGGATTTTTGTTTTTTATTTTCTTCTTTCTTTCTTTCGTCGCTTTTTTAGACAAAATGTCAAGGGGGAAACAGCCGAATTTAGTCCGTTAAATTCAAGTAAATTGAAAATTCACCTGAATTCACTAAAATGCACGTAAATTCATCCAAATTTATCCGAATTCACGTAAATTCCGAAAAAAGTCAAGGAAACTTTACTTAAATTCAACGGGAATCAGAGAGAGAGATGCTAGTTAACCTCCGAAATCTACCATGATAACGGTGTGGGTATTAAACAGCCAATACTGTGAAGAACATTCGTGTAGCAGAGTTTAGATTTCTCTTTCCTTTCTACTATCGACGCCACGAATAACTCCAAAACGTTAAAAGGCAGAGACTTGTAATTTTCAACAATCAAAAGAAGACAGTTCAGCCTATGTTTTCGTAAGCGAAACCCTTTTGCGAAGCCGTTAGGAAGAGCGGTTATCTAGGATATTTTGGAAAACCACTTCGGATCTCCGGAAAATGAGATAGAAATCTATCAGTTTGCTTCTATAGATAGACAGTCCAAAGTGTCCTCTCGAAAATGGGAACTAAGCTAACTCTTAATTTTCCCTAGTTCACGCGTGGCATCGGATTTCCTGAGAGCCCTAGGATCAATATTTCTTTAGGTATGGTAATTCCGAAAATAAATGCAAACATAGGTAATCGACCACGCTCAATATCGTGGCAATATTTATTTTTCAAAACAGTTCGAAAAATCTGGTGAAAACCTTGAAATAACCCATTTTTGCCTATTTTTGAGTAATATTAAAAGATTCATAATCCAGTCAAGATCCATCCAAGTTATGCCAGAATACCAAGATGTACTCTATTTTACCTGCTCAATACGACTTTTTACTTGAAAATAGTAAAAAGCATTTTTGTATTTCGGAAGATTTTTAGAAAACCTTTTCAAAAACCAAAGTATTTTCTGTTGATTTTTAAAACTTTTATTGAACTGCAGAGTATTAAGCAGGTAAAACAGAGTACGTCTTGGTATTCTGGCGTAATATGGATGGATCTTGACTGAGTTATGAATTTTTTAATATTACTCAAAAATAGGCAAAAACGGGTTATTTCCCCTAATGTTTCTCACTAGATTTTTGAAACTGTTTCGAAAAACAAATGTTGTCACATTTATTTTCCGAATTACCACAATCAAAATTCAGCTAAATTCACTTAAATTCAGTTGGAATCACTTAAATTCAAGTAAATTCAAAAACGTATCAAATTCAGCTGTTTCCTCCTTGGATACAGCGCACAATATTATTATTTTGCAATGATTGAAGATAGAAGTTTAATATAACATGTACAATCGTTCTCCCTATGATACTTTTTCCTGCACGTTTTGTATATTTTAGCTGTCGATGAGAATATGTACGTGCTATTGCATTTTTCTTTTTTGCTTACATGACGATTCATTCAGTACTTTAAAAAAAGTTCAGAAATTATCGAGAAATAACCGTACTATATATTTCAAGATAATAATAATATAATAAATGTATGACAATGAACAAGTAGTCGCGCATAATTAGCCGCAATGAAAGAGAAAATGTGAGTTGCACATGTTGTGTGTTCTTTTCATTACGCGACGAACTATCCGCGACGAATTGTCCTGCGACTAATTGAGGATAAAAAGCAAAATATCATGTATAATTATCTACGGTAATCGATCGATTCACTGACTTACACATTAAACTTTATAACAAGTTCTATTTATCAACTTGAATTTCTATTGTTGCCTGGCTCAAGGTCAGATAATAAATCGATTTATTAGTTTACAAAACCATGCTAATGTGAAGAAGTCAAAAAGTAAAATATTTAGATTAGGATTCAGTAAATGAAGTGAGACGATTCGATGTTCATTCGGAATAATTATGCATATACATTAATGTTTAAGAAAACTAAATTTGACTTCTACTAAAAGAAGTGAACGTTTAAGAAGATTTTGAAAAACGCAAACTGAGATGTAAAAAAGCTTGGAAGTTATCATAATCATCAAGATATTCAAAAATCCCTATTAAAATTTCTTGTTCAGTTACATTTTTCAATAAAGAAAAAAAAAAGAACTGAAGATATGGACATCATTGCAACGTCAAATTTACATTTTTTATTTTATACAAATTCATGAACAGTGAAACATACGATGATTGATGAATTATTCGATTATTGAATTTATTTAAACTCTTGCGCAACATTTTTTCTTTTTATACAATAATCAATAAAATATCTTAAAATAAGTTCAATGTCTTATTAATCTATAAATGACGGCAAATAAGAACTCTCGCATTCCAAAAGGATTTTGTTGCCAATAAATTTGATTGTATGATTAGGTAATAGGTCTTCAGTACTAATTACATATTGTAATTTCGAAAGCATCTTATCGTTGGCATTTGAAATATGGATACATAATGAAGACAAAGAATATACGTACTAAATGTCGTTAAAATAAATCGTACGAGCACTTCGAGATCCATGTTCACTGGAACATTTAATTGGAAATATTGTATACGATGACGTAAGTAAAGAACAAAAATGCACTTATTCGATATCAGTGATCTTCTCAAGATAGATTTTTGTAATTTTAACATTGATGCCTGCTAAAAAAATCATATCTTCGTTGTAGGCAACCAACCAACCGGGTTTAATGCTTGACAATGTTAATATCCAAATGAGTAAAATAAACAGCAAGAAAAAGAGGTTCAACATTATCAAGAAAATTATAACTTTGTCTAAGAGAATCCAGGTAAGTTGAAGAGGTGTAATAAACTGGGTCAAAGACTTATTGATGTCTTTCTGGTTTGATCTGATATTAATCGAATCATGATTATTAAAAGGCGCGATTCTTTCAAAGATCAAGCCATGTTTTTCTAAACGAAACAAATAAATTTGTTAATACAAAATAATTTTCTAAACATACTTGTATGGTTGAATTGAATAGATCACGCTATCACCGTTAATTTTGATTTCAAAAACTATTGACGTTCAATCCAAAACGATGAAGAAAACGCGCTGATTTTTTTTTTATAAAAAAAGGTCATCTTCGACTTTCTCCCAAAAACATTCACCTGAGTAATTTTTTTCTACAGTTTGCGTGCGTTTACAATTGACGATGGGAGTAGAGTTATCTGTTTTTTGTTTTTTTCTAAACCAGTTGATTTGAAACTAAGTAATAAATTTACACAACAAAGCGGGCCTAGCCCATTATATGTTGAAAGAAAGTGAAGCGACAAAGTAAAAGAGAGAAAAAAGAAAAAAACCTAATTTGCATGAGAGAATCGTTAAGACAACACATATAAAAGCCCATAACCGAAATAAAAACAGTAATGAATATACTATATAGCAAGAAGAAAGAACAAAGTGAGAATGCAATTCGGTAAATTAATCTGAATGGATGATCTAAGCAGAAACGAGGGAGGAGAGTGGAATATAATCTGTCTGCCAGAGTGAATAGTGGAGATGCACGGAAAAGAAATACACAGCATCAAGGCGGCCGAAAACGACTGGTACATTTAATATATCGAATGATAGCTAAGTAGACTTCTCTCAGTTATGATACGGATGGGGTAGCTATACATGGATAGCGTAATAAAATATGATCAATAGTAGTCTTATTGTTATTTAAAACTCTTGTTATAACATGAAATAAATCTGTGCGAGAGAGAGAGAACATACCCATACCGGAAACCGGTGTAGGGTGAAGATAAAAAAAATGAAAAAACACAAAAAAAGGGGCTTATAAAGTCTTCGAATTTTGGTTGCGCTCAAGAGAACGCAAAAGTTTTATCGGATTTTTTTCATGTTCACTCGTCGTAAAACCATCGATGATAAGGTGTATTATCCGCGTACCACCTCCACACCACACATGGATCTGGTTTTGGAGATACCCTTCCTTTTACCAAATCACCGTAGTTCAGCCTTCACGGTAATTCGTGAATATTTGCATTTAATCCATCCTAATCCCATGTCTCTTACACCAATACTTGACTCATTGGAGTTTGTTTAACTACTTTTTTTATCGCAAGTTCGTCGATGAATCTTTACACCTCGTTGATTTTTACACACTTGACCACAATTGGGACAGATATTTGTGACCACTCCGGTCGACATTGGTGGAGTTTGACTCGTTACGGTGCTGGTTGTGTCAACTTGACTACTTCGAGCAAGCTCTTCTGCTCGCCGCCAATTTGCTAGTTCCTTATATTCATGTACAAGTTTTTGGATATTCGAATGTACGAGTTTAGTTTGCACGTATTTGTTGATAATCTGACGCCACTTGTCCTTATCCATTGTTTCTCTCCGTCAATTCTTGATTCCGAATTTGGCAATATCATCTGCGATTTTATCTTCCCATCGTTTCCCTACGCCTGTATTTTGAAGTCTTCGAGCATCAGGAAAATACAAAAACATAACTTTCTTTAGTAATTTCGGCTTTTTATTCACATCTTCCATCCTGTTTACGTGGCCAAACCACCTTAACCGATTTCTCATTATGTTTTCCAAATTTTGTTGACCACTCAGCTCCAAAAGTTTTTCATTGGACATTCGATCGCCTAATGTTATACCAACTAATGTTCTTAGACAAGCCATATAGAATGTATTTAGCCGTCTTTCTTGAGCCAGGGTCAGAGACCACACTTCACTCCCATATAACAGAACAGGTAGAATACAAGCACGAAATATACGTACGCATTTTCGCTTCACATGGTACAGTTTTACGATACCAAATCGGCATTCGAAGCATATTGAACGCTCCAGATGCTTTTGTCATTCTCGTTTCAATTTCTTTTTCTTGTGAGTGATCTCTCGTCGCGAAACCCCCAGATATACAAAGTACTCGACTATATCAACAGTTTGATTCCTGATCGTAATATCAATTTTTACATTGTCCACTTCCTGATCTTTGATTACTTTTCTGGACGCGTCTTCTTTAAGCTGCTTCAAAGACATTATGCACGTCTTTTTGACACTCATTGTCAATCCACATTCTTGAGTGACTTTCTCGAATGTTCGAATAAACTTTTCGAGATCAGCCGCTGTTGTGCACATCGCCACCACGTCATCCGTGTATATCAAATCGAGTATTTCAATATCTTCATGTGCCTCGCGCGTAGAATGATAAAAATCACCATTTCCATATACCAGTTTCACCCCAGATATACCTACTTCAGCCAATACCTTAAGCATGATAAAGTCAAACAAGAGATTGAACAGGACGGGAGATGGAATTCCACCTTGTTGGACACCGGTTTCAATATCGAATGTTTCCGAAAAATCACCGTCGATTCGCACTTGTGCTTTCGTGTTAGTATAGAGAAGCTTAGCATTCGAACGAGTTGCTACGACAAACCATAATGTCTACACACCTTCCACAACAGCTCCCGATTAACCGAATCATAAGCTTTTGGGATGTCAATGAAGCACATAAGCAATGATTTGATTTAAACTTTATTATAGAAGAAACAGTAATCAAATCGGGCTGTGCCCATTGCATGACACTGGGAGAGAGGAAGAGGACAATGATTTATTGTATTCCTGTGATTTTTGCATGATCATTTTTAAGGTGAAAATTTGATCGACTGTTGATCTGTTTGGTCGAAAACCTGTTTGTTGATCTAGCAACTTTTTGTCGAGCAGTCCTTGTATTCGGTTGAGAATAATTCGAGAGAATATTTTACTCACGACAATTTATAAAGAGATACCGCGATAGTTGTCACAAATACGTTTATCCTCTTTATTTTTGTGCAATCGAATCAGTATAGCCGTCGTCCAGTCTTCTACCATTTCCTCGTTTATCCAAACATCAACTATGATTTGATGTAGCCACAGAGCTATTTCCATACCACCAGCTTTCAATAATTCAGCCGTTAAATCTGTGCGAGCCTTATTGTGTAGCGAACAATGTAAGAAAAAATGGGCTACAGTTTCACTGAATCCATAAGCACAGTTAGGAGACTGTACAAGTGAGCGTGCATACAGGTCAGCATTCAGCTGACTAAACCTCAGCCGACATCTCGCAATGTCAATGTCAAAAATGCGCTCATTAGGTATTATAGGTAGCTTAAGTTTAAAATAACCATGATTAGACAATAGTTGGAACACCAATTTAGTTTTAAATTTTTTCGGGTTCGGGATAGAACACAAGTCAGGCGTTAATTCACTCCAAAATCGCGACGCGCTCCTGATAAATGACGTATTTAGAGCATGTATACCTTTTCGAATAGCAGGAATTTTATTCTGATTACGTGTAACGTAACGTGACTTGCACTGAGGAATAAATTCACGCAAGTAATCGGGGGTCAAGCCATACATAACTTTTTGAAACAGACATAAACATCTAACACGATATAATTCTCTAATCGAAAGCCAACATAAGTCACGTAAGACAAGCTCTGAACGAGTTCCTCGCATAGCTCCTGTGACAGCTAATGCTGCTTGATACTGAATCCTAGAAAGATGCTCAATGTGTTTGTCGTAAGTACCTCCATAAATTACAATAGCATAGTTAAAGATGGTAAATACAAAAGAATAGTAAACCATATTGAGTGTCTGACGAGAAGTCCATCTACTCAAGAATTTCATAGAGCCTATAAAGGGCGCACATCTGGACGCACAACAATAGAGTCAGTATGCGGTGCCCAGTTAAGATGAGATGTTTACATCAAACCCAAGTGAACATGTTTTTCAACATAAGTTAATTGTGCTCCATTGATGAATAATGGCGGAGGTAACGTGCAATTACCAAACACCATGCAAACACATTTTAAAATGTTCAGTGGAAGATCCCATAACACAGACCATATGAACACACGCTGCAGATCCTCATTTAAATGAAAAGGTGATTGCTGCATATCTTTAGCCACGCAATACAATGACACATCGCCTGCAAATAGTTTACACACAGTGTGCAACCAACAGGCAAATCATCAATGAAGATGAGGAAGACCAATGGTCCCAAGACACTGCCCTGGGGTATACCACATGTAACAAATAACAAATCGGAGGAAGCTCCATCAACATTAGTAATGATCTGCCTGTTGGCCAAATAGCTCTTAAACCATTCCACTAGAGTAACAGGTAAACCTTTACTACGGAGTTTTAGCAGCAAAGCAGAATGGGAAACCTTATCAAACGATTTTCGGAAGTCGAGAAGTGTAGCCAGCACAGGATAACCAGAGTCAAGAGACGTAGCGATATAATCAATAATAGCAACCAATTGATTTATTGAAGACTCTTTAGGTAAGAAGCCGGACTGATTCGAACAAATCAACTTATTTGTACGAAGAAATCCTGGTACGTTTATAAATAATTCGCTCAAAATTTTTTGATAGGGCTGCCAAGAGAGAAATGGGACGATAGTTGTTAGGTAACTGTGGATCGTCTGACTTAAATAACGCTGTAATGTGTGCTATCTTCCAAACTGAGGGGAATTCTTTAACCCGTAACGATTAATTAAATAAATAGGCAATGACTGGTGCAATTATGGGTGCAGCTTCTTTCAATAAACGGTTTGATATGCCAGGAGACGTAGATTTATAAATGTTAACGCTTAAAAGAAACTCATAAGCTTCAGTAACAGAGATATAAAACTCAGACATTACAATAGTAGACTGCAACAGCGAGTTTTGTAGTGGTGGAATATAATCTTTATTAGCAGTACAAATACTGCAAAATGGCGATTTAGCACATTAGCTCGTTCTGCAGGCGTAATTACAATGCGGGCAGTAGTGCTACCAAAGAGCGGTGGAATAGATGACTGTTTTGCTTTGCCCAACGAGTATTTGAGCAAGGACCACCATTTTTTAGAGCAGCTGGAGACTGCTGACAACCTGTCATAATAACATTTCTTAGCTATTTCTATACTAACATTAACGCTCAAAAAATTTCTCAAACCGCTAATACCTTTCATAGTCATCATCCCAAAAAGAAAATTTATTGTACAATAAACGCTTTCTAGCAGGAAGTTTACGAAGTTTCTCACTGAACCAAGGCTGGTCCCGAGATGATATTTTAACCAGTTTATTGATAACATGCTTATTCGATAACTGAAGAAATGGGTTTTGAAATGCTTCAACTTTATCAGAGATTGTGGCATAATTGTCTAAAACTTTAAGCCAGTCAATAGCAGAAAGCGCACTGCGGTACTTATCCCAATCTGTGTACTTATAGTCATAAATTACGCGCTTATACGAAAAAGACGGTTGTCGATAATTAAATAGTGAAAATTCGATCATGCAATGATCACATGTTCTACACAGCGATGGAAGTACATTGATGTTACTTATGGTGGCTGGGTTATTTGTAAAAACCAAATCTACACAAGCGTTGGAGCTAGGACGGGTTGGTTTAGAAATTAGTTGCGCTAAACCCTCTCTAGTAGCAAAGTCAAACATCTTAACACCATCTCTTGTGCTTAGCTTGATCGGACACCAATGCATACAGTGAGCATTAAAATCCCCCACTAATGCGATCGAGTCATGCCGTAATTTGGAATCAAGGCGCACCTTCTGTAATACATCGGACAAATGATCAGTAAAAACGTCCGTATCAATTTGTAATTTAGATTTGTAACATGCTCCAAACAGGATTGACTTACGAAATTGAAATGCGCTGAGTAAAATAACAGGCATGACTCCTGTTTTGTAGAGTTTTTTCTCCACTACAAAGCCTTATATTTAGATAGTTCTTATTCGAAACAGAAAGCTGTTTCTTTCACCACAGGTAAGCACCTGAGCAAAAACCAAGGAAACGCACTCGTATTGTACAGTTTTCACCATTAAACTTTCATTTTTTTGCAAAATGAATGTCATATTTGAATCAGCCTCAAAAACTGAATTGACTGATGTTCGTAATTCTCCTACCGGAAAGCTAATTGCATTACCCTTTTTAGGGAACTTCAAAACGTTATAAATTTCAAATTTTTAAATTTCAACAGATAAGTATATTTCTCACTTATTCTGTTCTTTTCCTCACTAAAGTAAAAACAGGAAGAAATTATATGTATACTTTTTAAAGCAGCATAACGTAATCTCTTTACGATCAAACTGCAATCTGTTTTACTCGGTATTTGTCTTCGAGAATAGATCACAGGAAAATAATCAGGCAAGCAAAGAAAGTTGCGTTCTTGATGGTTTCATAGTCTTTCTGCTTGCTTCTCTCATAGTCGAACAAATTTATTTAACTTTATTCAAAAGAAATCAAAAGGAATTCGATTAAACCTCAACTCGACTACTAAAAGTATAATCACTGTTGAACGTTATTCATAAACACAGTCAGCAGTATTTCGGACTTTACATTGTTCACATAGACATTTGCTCACATTTGCCGAGAAGTGAAATAGATATCCCTTATTTGATACGGCTCTATATTCTTTCAACACTTTTTTAAACTTCTTTTTTCTTCCTCGTTCTTTTGCGTCACATAAACCGCAATGTTTGCACACTCATTTCTTGTGCTAGAAGAGATATATCCAATTTTACTAGATGCCTATTAGCAGATTATTAGCAAAAGGTCACTCGCCTGTAATGCGATGCCCTCCACTAAATAAATAGGTAAATAAATAGACGTAAACTTAAGAACAAAACAAAAGAGTAAAAATTTATCGGGTCGAGTTCGGGTTACGTTTCCTTAAGCCGTGCAGGTCCCTAATCATCGTCACAGAATCACTCAATTTACAAATAATTATGTTTTCGCGTTCAAATTTTTTCCTCAAGAATGAATGAGAGTTAAATTAAAATGACATTATTGTGATCTCAAAACATAGCTCTATTCAATCATGTGTTCAAAATGTAAAAACTATAGACAACAAATAGAAGAAGAACCCAAATGAAAGCAACTTCTTTTCAAAACTTAGACATAAGAGGCCGTGCGAATGGTCCGGAGATTACGTGGAATGGTCCGGAGGCACTCTACAAACCGTTAAATATTTACAGAGAATGAAACATGTTTTAAAAAATCAATATGGTAAGCTACGAAACCACTGTAAATTAGAGGAGTGCAGAATGACCCTGTCCTATCCTATTAGGGTAGGTTAAGGATACGAAACATTTTTATAGGGTATGGCACAGGTTGAGACGTTTGTCATAGACAGTTTATAGTTTTATTTATTTAGGTTAAATCAAAGCAGGGAAACAGGAAAAGCCCCCGGCTTGTAAATACTGCTCCCAAAAATCTTTCTAAATATGAACGCACAAAAAAACACCCGCTGTCGCCTTAAGAAATTTAACCGAGATAGCATCAGAGCCAGCTGCAGAATCGTTTTTAAGAGAAATGGCTGAAAAAATATCTTCAACAGATGGAATTTTAAATATAAAGTTATCATCTATTTTTCGTTTGCTCAATGGATTGGGCATAGAATCCTGTTTTGGCTGAAAACATCGATTGAAATGTATAGAAAATAAGTCGGCTTTATCCGAGTTTGTCTTGGCTGTATTTCCATTTTGATCCGATATAGTAGCAGGGGTCTCTGTGCTATCTTTCGAAAACTTTTTTATAGCAGACCAAACTTCTGCGGTAAAACAAATGGTTTTAAGATATTAAGAAAATGCAAAAATTTACTGTTCCTTAACGCTTTTAAGACTTGGTTTCGTAGGCTTTTGAAAATATTCCTATCCTTATTGTTGCAATTGTGCCTTAAAAGACTGAACTGCTCATTTCGCATTCGTCTTAACCGATAGTAATTGCGACTCAAACGGAACTGATTACACACAGACTGTATTCTATGAGATAACGAACGGTTAATATTGAGAGACATTCGCTCTTTTAGTGGTGCATCACTTCATTATCCATCAGAGAGGTCTATGCTGTTTTTATTGGATGTGGATGTGGAGTTTTTGAATAAAACTGTAGCTAGAAAAAGGATCTTCGATTCTGCACGAATGATCCCTATTTTACTCCTACTTTCTTATGTGTAGGTGTAGGGCGCAAACTGTCTGAAGTCAACAGGGTAGGGTGGGGCAGGATCAGACTTCCCAGATGGTCCGCATTTTACGGACAAATTCCGCATTCTGGAGTTTTTTCCGCAATTTGTCCGCTGTCCGCTATTTGTCCGCATTTTGAGAATTGTCTGCTTTTGCTGTTTTTCCCCTGTTTACATATAACATTTAAAAAAAGAATGTCTATTTATTGAGGATTCTCTTTCTCATCCTATTGTCAAACCAACACCATCTCCAAATGTGCACAAATTAGTTTCGTTTATATTTTCGATTCCGTGCAGTAATTCATATGTCGAAAGTGCATTTTCTTCCATGAAACATCTATTTAACGATAAAAGAAATCGTATGTCGATAGAAATGATTGCAGTTGAGTTAAAAATTCGCTTAAACTCATCGTTATCATGCACTGAAATTTATAATTATTTCTTATCAATGCCAGATCTGCTTAAACTTATTCATTCTAATAAAAAATATACAGTCAACAACGTGTCAACTAAAATCGGGACTTACATTTCTGTTTGTTTTTCTCTTGTGTTTTATTGAATAAAACCACAAAGTGCTAAAGAAAACATTTTTTTGACTCTGTGCCGGCAGAGTTGCCAGCTCAGGCACCACAATCAATGCCAATACGGCAGAAAATCGCGTCGATTATGGCACTCCAGCAGGCAACTCTGTGATTGTGCGTGAAAACGAATGAAGTTAGACCATGAAAATGTGTTTGCGCTTTTTGTCCGCATTCTGAGAAAAATTTTCCGCAAGTTTCCGCATTTTGAGATTTTTATTCCGCATTTCTGACCTGAGGATCTGGGAACTCTGGGCAGGATGTGAAGGCTAATAGGATAGGGTACAGAGTACAAAAAACTCGTACCCTGTACACCTCTACTGTAAATATTATATATTAATCAATTTGAAAACAAAACTTTCACAGCGGAAATACATAGAATTTTAGAAAAACTTCAAATACATTGACCAAACTCACACATCTGTTTTTTAGGCAGTAGTGAGTCAAGTAGTTGACAGAATCGTGCTGGATAGCGACCTTATTTAGGGGAAAAGACGATTTATTCTGCCTTAGATTTGCAGCGAAAGTCTCCTTAGAATTTTGTTTTTTTTACTAATGTTTTAATTACTGTCTTTAGTTTAAGGAAGAATCTGCGCTTTACGAAATATGTTAGCTTTTGAGTAAAGGCAAAAACTTTTCATTCACCATGGATGAAGAATTTTCAACATCCCAAGAATATAAGCAAAAATCCAAAATACAATTGAGAAGTTTTTCAAAAAACCTTCTCTCTAAAAAAGAAAAGGTATCCTACAAAATCAAAAAAGAGTATTTCAATCCCGGGAAACCATAGTTGGTTTCTATTAGTGACAAATACAGATATCCTCTTTTTTTTGGTTCTGTAGAATTAGAAATACTCTTTGGGTATTGTAAGATACCCAAAACGTACCTTGAAATGTCTAAAGATAATTTCTAATTCTACAGAACCAAAAAAAAGAGGATATCTGTATTTGTCACTAATAGAAACCAACTATGGTTTCCCGGGATTGAAATACTCTTTTTTGATTTTGCAGGATACCTTTTCTTTTTAGAAAGTTCTCTCCCATAAAGTGTAAAAACCCACGCTCTGTCAACCGCTGACTGAATATGTTAGCCTTATTTTGATACCAACACCAGCTCTCGAGCATCTACTTGATATTCTAGGAAATATACGAATACTCACGAATGAAAAAATGATCTCGAGTGAAAACGTTGTGCATTTGATGGTACATTTCAGAGTTTGTTGGAAAATCTTTGTAACTTTTTGATGAAAGATTACGCAGAGTTATTGTTATGTCTTGTTTGAGTAAAAAAGTTTGCTCACAAAAATTTTTTCTAGATACCAACTATATTGACTTTTTAAAACATGTTTCGTGCGTTAATCTTCAATAATACCTTCGTTGTCTATAAATATTTAACGATTTGTAGAATCTTTTCGTAATTGTAAATAAAATACCGTTGAAATTACCTACCATGATCCACAAAATCATAAATTATTTGGAAAAATCTGCACATTCATGATAAAACTGCACTAATTCGTTTTCTTTTTTTTATATAATAATTACGCTTAATTTTTTAGATACAGAAGAATTTTTTTTATTATTTGCCTTGTCAAATGTGTAACTACCGCACTTGAAAGTTGAGTAACTCGTTCTTTTTTTGCGTTTATCTTTTCAACACTTGCCATTACGATGCATTATCTCAAGAAATCTATTTAATCACGGTTAGCACTTGTATATTAATTTTATATTTCGAGTCTCAACTGAATGTACACTCTTTTTCTCATATTCTGATCTAATCTAACGGCGATTATGACAAAAAACTATATGAAACTGTATAATTCTTCTATCCTACAACTTTCTATTATAACAGATTGTGTTTTAATTCATAATTTTAGATTTTTCCATTATCTTTTTAATTATGCATGCTTATCTTCTTTCATTTTGTTTCCTTTTTGTATTAATTCATGGTGGTCATATCTTGCGTTCAAAACCATCTGCTGATCTATTTAAAATACCACCAAAACAAAGTCGATTTAATGATTATCATCCAATGTACTATTCGAATATTATACGGATGACTAAGTTCAAAGTATGATATCGCACGAACGTTGGTTAAAGGATCGGCAAAATAAAAACATGTTAATAATAAGAGAACAATCGACAGTTCTCAGACAAGATGCATCAGTCAATAACGAAACAATCTATTATTCGTATCATATACATGTCTATTTTTTACAATATAATAAAAATTTAACAGCAGAAGCAATTACATTACGTGAACAATTTATAAAACAATTCAATGTTATTGATTGTAATGATCAGTGTGAAACATGGTGTCCATCCATTTGTCATTGGGATTTAAATATGCAACCAATTGGGTAAAATTTTATTGTTTATTTCATAAATCTTTAAAAGATATCTCATATACTCGGCTATTTTAGACCTCATCCTATAGGATCTTGGGGTATTTATTTGCCATTGGAAGATTTTACAAGTGCTGTCAGTTGGATATCAATTAATCATGGAAATCTCACAATTTTGGTACATCCAAACTCTGGTTACCCAAAAATAGATCATTTAACAAATGCATTTTGGATAAAAACACAACTACCATTAGATGGTAATGAAGTGACATTCAAATGTGAATAAATAACTAACTAATTGACTATTTCTTTGTTTTAGGAGATCAACTATCAGATTATGCACCACCAAATATTACAAGAACCAATTGAAAATGTATTTCTTTAGAGTTTTTCACCTATTGTTTATTTATTTTTTTTTTTTGAATAATTTATCGATAAAATATTTAATTCAATCATAGTTTTTTACAGGCAGACAAAATAAATATAAAAACTGATTTAAAGATTCATTCACTAATCAGAATTTAAGTCTTATGGTAAGAAAAAATACCCACAGATAAAACAAGAATCTCGTAATTTTTATGTAAAAATTCTTTATTGACGTTTATTTTTAAGTATTAAAACACAAAATCTATAAATGGAATGACTATGTCAACACAACGACAATAACAAACCTTTTATCAAAAAGTATATCATAAAAATTGCCTATTAAATAGAAAACAAAAGCAACAAACAATATTGCACAAAAGTTGACGATGTTTTTTTTTTCTTCCAAAAATACAAAATAAAAAATTACAAAAAAAAAATGTCCATATCAAAAAAAAAAACAATCGTTTAATAATAACACAGAATGCCATTTTGAAAGGAAAAAAAGATTAACTACCGGCATAATTTCAAAAGACAATCATCATTCAAAGAAAATCAGTTTATTCGCATGAACTAAAATGGTTTCGTTTACGATTTGTTGTCGTGGGAACAGTAGTTGTCATTGGTGGTGATGATTGACGAACGAAAACGGGAATTTTTGGATTAATAAATGTATTTAAAAGAACTAAAAATGCTTTCGATGGAAGAATACTAAAATTAAACAAAATAAAAACTTAAATATAACTTATAAAAATTGAGATTTTAATAATGAGTGTATTTAGACCGTATAATGGGCATTTTTCTAATAGAAGATGGATATTAGAATTTTTTTGCTCATAAACCATTTCTTCGTGAATAGTTATCGTTTCTTAGTCATCTCTGATGCTATTAGAAAAAATAAACATTTTTAGAAAGAATTACTTTCTTAAAAAATTAATTTTGCAGATTTTTGAGAAAATATTTCGCTCGATAGTTTGTCGAATTGAAACTTATTATGTTATACATGATTGGATACAGCTCGACGTACTGTTTCTGAATATGTCATTGATTTTAATAAAAACATGTTTTTGTCTGAGAAATATAGAAATTATATGAAAAATCAAAATCCTATTATCGTGTACGGTAAAAAGGTGCCTGGAGGTCGTATCACGAAAAAACTTAAGTCAAAATCTAGACTTAAGTCATACTTAACTGTATAAAATTAGCATGTAAGTGCACATGACGAAGACTTACGTCCAAATTTTGACTTAAGTCAGACTTAAGTTTTTTTGTGATATGGCCTCCTGAACTATAGGCTCCATAGACTCAACTGAGTGCATAAATAAAGTTTAAACCAAAAAAAAAATTTGCTTGAAAAATAGTGAAAACTCATTATACTGACGATTATATTTTTGGAAAATCTATTAGAGTGGAAAATGATTTTGTCTTCTAGATAGACTTATGTGAAAAACGTTTCTTTTTTTGCGGGAATAAGATACTCGAATCATAACCATTATTTTTCATTATTCTTTTAATCTCATCATTCGATTAAGGTAGGCAAAAAAATCGAATTTTTTCCGTGCTTAACAATTATTTATTATCCCAGATGAATAACAAAATTCTACTTTCAGAGAAATGGCCAATACTTCACACGCAATAAGAAAACATTTACTTCGAAATATTTTCATTAAATATCGGTCTGGATGCTCATTATAGATCATAACATGCATTATGTTCCTCTATGAAATTAGAATCATATAACATACCCTTTGATCAATGGTATTAAATAATAAAATCTTGGAACACAAACAAATTTTTTATTCACCAATATACCATGTACAATCTTTTTTGCAGCATATTCAAGTGTCAATGGTGGTAATAGTGGGTTGAGTCGAGTTTTTGCTTGTTGATATAATTGTGTTGATATATAATGAGGACAAGACAATGTTGTATAGATACCATCATAACCACCTAGAATAAGAGATAATAAACAATTATTTGTAGATTATTTTAACAATTTCTTACCTAGTGATAATTCATGATCTAGACTTTCCATTAATCCTGTGACGGCAAATTTAGATGTACATATATCACTAAAATGACCATAGCCAAATAAAGCTGTTGTTCCTAATATTTGAATTATATGTCCATGATTTTTTGTCAACATTGACGGTAATATTTCTCGAATTAACTGTATATTAATAATTCAAAACATAAAAAGAATTTGATAAGATAAATAACATTTGTCCACTTACCCAATATGATGAAAATAAATTCACATCTAATGCTCTCATAAATTCCACTTCACTTGTTTCTAAGAATGCTTTTGATGATAATACAGCTAGATTATTAACAAAAACACATGAAAATTTTAAAAATTACAAAAAATGAAAGAAAAAAAGATATTACCCGCATTATTAACAATCATTGTCACTTCTCCAACATCCGTTTGAATTCTTTTAACTAAGTTACAAACTTCTTCACGTTTGCTAAAAGAGAAAATAACATGATAGTGATGAACTCTTAAAATTGCCGCAATGATTCCGAACATTCCTGGATTTTGGACTTTTCATTAAGGTTTTCTACTGCAGAAAAATTTTCTGTTCAATCTTTTTTTTTTATTTCAGTAGAGATTTGTTCGAGCGTCCTCGTGCATCTGGCTTAAACAAGATGCGGCGTATAACTTTAAAAAGACTTTTTTTACTTTTTTGCTAATCACTCGTTGCTGATGGGATCCTTTATTTTACTGCTTTTCGCTAAAATTTTAGCCAAATTTCTTAACTACTGTATTGAGGGCAATAAAACGATTTTGATTATTGACTGTCTTGTTTGTCGCTAAGTCAACTAACTATGTCTCTTACCCAATATCACATTCATACGAATAAACGCGATCTAACGGTAAACCAGCATCATTTATCAACTGGACCGTTTGTTTGTTTCCTTCTTCATTGATATCACATAATATCACAATTGCACCACGTTGAGCAAATAAAATAGCCAATTTTTGACCTTCAAAGAATAAAAAGAAATAAAAATTAATTGAAAATAAATATTAATTAAATTCATGTAATGGTTACCTAAACCTCGAGCTGTCCCGGTTATAAGTACAATTTCATTTCTGACATTTTTTTCTGTAGTTGAAAATATATACTGGTTCACAGCTGATATGATTGATGTTAAAACTTCGATTAAAACCAATGTGAAACATTTGATTATTTGTGTGAACGTTGTCATTTTATTATTTTGACATCAATACACCATCCATACAAATTGATCTTCAACAATTGAGAAACAAATTGATCGTTTAGCAAGATGCACAATTTACCAATTAGATTAAATATTTTCGTTAATAAACTCATTTCAGGTGAGAAAAAAAACTAGAAATTGTTTAAAAATGTATTCTCATAATCTCTTTTACTAAACGATACTGATTAAGCACCAGAAAAAGCTCTACAATAACAAAAATGGCCTTTTTGCACTTGTATTTCATAAGCGCACGCATCTGTCGCACATGTTCATTAAGTCCGCCATGACCGATAACCTATAGTAAATTGTCAACAAATTATTTAATGTTCAAATAGTTTTTAAGTAAAATGCATTTAACAGAATTAAAACTGATTTTGCGTTTTTCTTAAGACTGTTTTTTAGCTTCAGGGCTTTCGCCACGTGCAAGAATTCTTTGTAACGATACACCGGATAAAAAAAAATTTTGTTTTTGATTTGTAGATAACACCTATCTATAGCTAGGACTTGATCACAGTCTGATTTTTAAAATTATGCTTCCATTTTTTGTAGAAACGAGGATTTCTAAGAAAACTTTCAAAGATTTTTCGGATTTTATAGTTCTATTAAGCACTAGAAATCAGTAAATGAGAAATTCAAAAATCGGGCTATGTCAACTCATAGTCATAGGTGTTTACTGTAAAACAAAAACAAGCCCGAACTCTCCATCATTTACCCGGAATGAGAATTCTTGCACTTCGTAGGCGCCTACATTTGGCCCTTGTTATGACTCCCTCTCACGAACAGTTGCAAGTGATGTCAAAAACAAAAATTCATTACTACACTTTGACATGGTCAATATTCTCTGAAAGTTTGGTTCAGATCAGACCTGCCTGAGTTGAGATAGATTTCTAATCGAGAGGGGGAGGGTTAAATCGAAATGCTAAACTTCAAGTAGATTATTAAAGAATAATTATCGTTATTTGATCGTTGTTTATGTGCAATATAGAGAAAAAGAAAGAAGTTTAGTTATCAAACACAGTAAATAAGTAAAAAAATAGTTCTGTCGAAAAATCTTTTTACTCTACAAAGAAATATCGAAAATAGAGGCAACAGCACCAATAAATACAAAATACTGTTTTTTTCTTTTAGAATCACAGATAGATAATATAATTATTCAGCTTTCCATTCTAAACGATATGCCGGCCATCGACATATTGGACACGTTTGATGTTCACCTGTTTTTAGCCAATGCAATAAACATTTTTGATGAAAATTATGTAAACAAGGAAGACTACAAAGATAATCGCCATATTTATATTTTTCCAAACATATTGAACCTTAAAAAAATAATAAAAATAATATATACGTGAATAATAATCTAATCTAATAACTTACATTGATATATTCGACTTATAATTGTATTATTATTATCATCCGATTCACTTGTATAACAATTTCTTAAATCCATTGGTGATATCGTTGATAGTTTTCTTCGTCGACATTGTTTTCGTTCTTTTCGTTTATGATTAAAATAATTACAAATTCGACTCATTACTGATGATTGTCGTTGTTCATCATTATCATCATCAAATTGTCTATTATTTTCTGGTTCAATATCCGAAAATGTTTCACATACACCTCGTCTTGTCATACCAAAACGCCATACAGGTAAATGTTTTAAATATGAAATATTATTTACATTATTACTTATCCCATAAGATGGAATTGAAGAATAATTTAACCATAAACTACCGTATGTATATGTATGAGAAAAATAGTCTAATATATTTGTAATTTCATCATTAGTATAATCCAAAACAACTGAAGGTGAACGTTGTTGTGAATCTGAAAACAAAATACGTAAAAAAAATTGCCAAAATTTTGTACAATAATTCATGGTATCTTCTCGTTGGCTATTTTCAAATGGTATAGTCTAAAAATAGAAAAGAAAATAATGAAACTTTTTCATCACTAAAGATTATGTGAATATATTCAATACATCTATTCTAGTTAAAAATTCGATGTCTGTCATATTTAACTAAATTATTTGTCTTTCTAGTCTAGTAATTATATTTGTGAATAACTGACTGAATAAACGAGTTATACAAGTTTTCCTCAAAGCTCTCATTTTTGAGCTAATCATAGTGCATTATAGAGTGAATTGTCCTTTACAAAATAATGTTATAGAACATTCTTAATAACATTTGTTTTTTCGGTGTTTTTGCTATAATTGGGAAAGGAAAAATGATAAAATAAAAATAAAAAATTATATGTAGGAAATATTGTCTAGCATTTACAGTGAAAATTTTGAAGTTGATCGGATAAAGTTATCGTGAGATTAATATGAAAAGTATTAACAATCTAGAGACTTATGACATAAACAAAAAAGATGCTCAATTGAGTTTTCAATTAGTCTTAGAAAGAAGAATGCTTCGACATTTTTAGTTTATGTTTGACAATATTTCTGCAAAATATTAGAAGGAAAGAGGAATACTCTTAATTACTCTTATCAGTCGTTAATCAGGATATTATAACATGTTTAAGTTTAAAAATAACAACGTACTTGCAAATATTCTTCATTTGTACTTGTATTTTCTCTTCTTCGCTTTCTTGTTTCATACCATTTTAAAGCGAATCCTGTGACAACATGTAAAGAAATACCAATTAAAATCCATGGTGTTTTTAATTTATAGAATTGAATATCATTTCTTAATTTTGTTAATACTAACGATTGATCTGTTAATAAAATAAATTGAAATGTTATAAATTGAATGAATGGCGATAAAGTATTACTACCAATATGAAAAAAATAATTTGTTGTCATAAACCAAATAAATAATGAAGTAAAATTATAAATAAATAATTTTTTTATCAAACATAATTTCAGTGTTGTTATTAAATATAAGTCGTACAATAGAAATAAATTAAGAATATAAAAAAAGAAATGAACAATGGTATTTAAATCAGATGTTAAATACGATAAAAATAAATTCAATGATTCAAATGTAAATAACTCTTTTAAACGAACATTCTGACCGTAAATATACGATGTTTGATTTTTAGAAAATGTTAGAGAAAAATTATTGTTATGCTCAATAACAATAAAATTCATATAATGTCTATAACGTATTGATAATGTCAAATAGAAGAGTGGTGCCATCTTTTGTCCACTCGTTAAAGAGAGCGTTAATCTTGGTTTTGTTTGAGATGGAAATAATTCATACCAATCATTTTCTTTTCGATGATGATTCATGAACATTTTTGTTAACCAAAATAAAATATGTTGATAATGACGATAATTTGATGATAATAACTGATAAGAATAGATTGTTGACGATATATTTTCATATGATGATGATGTTGAGGAGGAAGAAGAGTGCTTTGAATTCGGAAGAATCAAAAGTAATTGTTCATTGAATGATGATGATAATTTTTGACAAGAACTAAAAAAGAGATAAACATCAAACATACATCAAAAACAAGTTTAGCACTTCAAAAGCCACTTTAAAATAAATTTTAACAGTGAATTGTTACAAATTCAAAGTAAACATAAGTAATTTACTTCCGTTCTTGTACGCAATTAAACGTTCCAGTTTTGATACCATAAATAGCGAGACGACGAGTGATATTTAACCATTCGTTTTGTGCTAGAATAACTGATGACGTTTTTTCATTTGGAATTAGATGAATTAGCCTATAAATCGCAAAATAAACAAAGATATTGCATTTCATAAATAGTGTTCATTTACCATATGTTCTCTTCACAATATTCAACCATATCCACAAGTTGTTTATAGGATGAAAAATTAGTGCTGTAAGCTTGAATATTTTCTGTTCGTTCAAACAGTTCCTCTTTTCTTATCGAACCTAAACAACAAAATATACGTAAAAAAGAGATATACAAACAAAATGTTTCATATCAAAAAATGTATTTACCCATCTGTTGAACGAGTCCGATCAATTCATATTTTTCATAAATATTTGCATAGTTAATACCTCTTAAATCAAGAATATGTTTCAGTTGTTTAACACTTAAATCTGTTGATTGTAAACGTGTATTAGACGTTGTTGATCGTTGAAAACAAAATACATATAAATCAATCAAACGAGCAAGTAAAAAAAACAGCAAGAAATAAATTGATAATATAACAAATTTACTAATCATATCTAGAAGGTATACAAAGGACAATCAGTAAACGACAAATCATACTCTAACCTTATGTTCATGTGTCTCGCATCATCCATTATGATAGTAAACTTACTACGTTGTGATCTAGAGCATAGCTCCTTTAGCGTGCTAGAAAAACAGTCAGGGTCTATGACGAGACGAGTTCAACTAACAAGTGAAGGTCCCCAAGTGTTGCTCTCACTTTTCAATGGAGCATATCCTAATTTGTAGAACTTGACGAGCTGATTACGATGGCATAAAGTATTTTCCCCCATGGCTCTTGAAGATCCAGTTTTTCAGAAACTCTAAAAAATAATCCAAACCTTTCTTACGCGGCGTAATTGTAGCGCGCACATTTCTGATTAAAATGTCTAGCTCTACACGACATTTCTTTGCGAAGTTATAGATTTTACAAGAAAAGCGCTAAATGTTCATTGTCAGCATAAAGCTACAGAAATAAGAAATAAATTTAAGGCTTTTTTTGTAAATTCTATAACTTTGCAAAGAAAGGTCGCATAGAGCTGGGAGATGTCTCATTTTAATTAGAAATGTGCGCGCTACAATTGTGCCGCGTTAAGAAAGGTTTTAGTTATTTTTTAGAGTTTCTGAAAAACTAGTTTTACAGAAGTCATGCGGGAAAATACTTTATGTCATCGTAATCAGCTTTTCGAGCTCTACAAATTAGGATATGTCCCATTGAAAAGCGAGAGTAACACTTGGGGACCTTCCCTCGTAAATAGAAGAGCTAAACAAGAAATGAAGGAGTTATCATCTTCGAAAATTATCGACTACAGGAAGAGCGTTGTGTTAACTGAGATCAGAATTATTAACTCAAAAGTGTCAAAATCAGACAAAAATTCTGAAAATCTGTTTTCTGCTCAAAACTCAAGGTTTAATGTAGGTTTAAAGGAACGTTTAATCTTATACATTTTTTCTTTGTCTTTCCTTTTCTCTGTATATTTTTCTTTTTCGTGAAACAAACAACAGGTCGATCTACACTGTATTTCACGATACTCAATGTTATCAATACTTAATTGCTTGCTATATGTTTATATTTCTGTTGAATTCATAGAACTTTCAATAGTTCTGGTATCGAGATTGAATTGTAAAACTGTTTACAAGTAATATCAACACTGTTTAATTTAATTTTCAATTCAGCTGAAACTAATTCTAAGAACATCTTGTTTTTCTTATTTATCATTCTATATTTGATTTTGTATACAAATAGGTCCTTCTTTTGACAATATCCATCTTCTACAATCCAAGTTTGAAAAGACTTGAAACGCAGAAAAATTTCGGAAAATCAAAACTAATTCTAAAATTAAAAACAACAACGATGACAAATAAACATAAAACGATTCTTAGACAGTGAGAAAAAAACTTATCGAATATATTCAGTTTCAATAGATTTAATACTTATACATATTCTTCTTTTGGTATATCTAAATTTTGTCATCGAACAATATTTCTATGATTGTATATTTACTATATTTATAAAATTATATAATTTATATTATATAAACAAATAAATTTTGTTCATCTAGTAACATCAAATGATTAAAATTATACGTTAGGGATGTGTAACGAAGACTATCTCAATAGAATAGAATGGAATAGACTAATTCAGTCAATTTTTTTTCTTTTACTTTGCCACATAATATGGGCCAATTATTCAATTTGAATAAAATTATTGATATTGGTTTGTAAATATAGAAATTTGATTAATAAATCCGTCAATTCTTTAATAGATAATATAACACTTGTATTAAACACTTCAAATAGATTATCTCGATTAATATCCGTTCATGACACCATTGACACAAATATTTACATCGGTAAACATTTCATGTAAACGAAAATGATTAAAGATTTGAAATAACTATTTGATATCTCTGACATACAATTGGATGAAGAGTATGATTTCTAGGTTCAGTAAATATATGAGAGGGAAGATAATGTGGCCGAGATACAAAATTTTGGAAATGTAAAACTTAGTGATTAGTAGACGATGAAGAGGAGCATAAATATGATGAACAATTACGATTCCATGAATGACATTTGGTTTCACTAGGAAATAAGAGGAGCCGATGAGTAATTGTCTACTACTGCAAAGCGAGCATGTGCTGTAAATTACTTGAGCATAAGCTATCCCACATTATCCCAACAATATATCTAACCAAAACCTCAGTATAGTTTCAATATGATAGAATACCTAAGAGAAATTATTTTCGAAGTTTTAGTGACATGCAGCTGCAACATTAAACACGTGGTCACGTGTGAACTTTCTATAATCTCACATTAAGCGAGAATTTCTTTTCACGTCTGTGTCCATATACCGTTGTACGCCGTTCACTAGTGACCACGTGCGAAAAATATGGCAAGACATTCACTGGTTTAAGTACGTGAAAATAATTTCTACTAGAAACAAATCATTTGTGTGTACAAACTATCCTGGTGTAATGTGTTATACGAATAAAAAAGCATAGGTCAGGGATGTTCGGGCTAAAAGTTCGACTAGTACTAAGAGTAATGAGTTATGGTGACTACAGCATCTTAAATCTTTTTCAATCCTAGCGAACACATACAGAGCATAGAAGGTTTTCCATCTGCATAATCTGCACCGTTCGGTGTCTTTTTCTCGATTCTAGGAGATTGTAGGCTTTTAGGAGAAAAACATTTTACGAAGGATTGGACAGTCATTGTTTCATTTACTTTAAGTAAACAGAATGTTCATTAGGTTCAAATCGATGTTTCCAAACTATTGTCTGATAGAGTTTGATCAACTATTGCAAACATTTTTCGGTGTATCACTTTGCGTAAGAGCGATTGTTTTTGTTGCCGTTTGCAGTGGTTTACGTGATGCTAAATAGACAGCGGTAAAATGGACATATTTTTTGCTCAGCATCTCGGCATTGCCTTTTCGTAGATTTCTCTAGGAACCATAGTCTTTATTACTGTACACGGATTAAGTCCATCAAAATGTTGTCCATTCTAACTGAAATTTTATCACTCTAATAGACTTCCGTTTTGGACTTTTCAATACTTTCTTTTTTTTCGTAACAGAAAATCCGAAGTTCTATCGCTTCTATGGGTAAGAAAAACTTGTCATCTAAAGATTGAAAATCTTGAAAACAAAAATTCATTTTTTGGAGACGAAAGGTCGTGAAGAATTCGGAAAATCTAATTTTGTAGAGGACACTAAGGTGTATTCTGACACTATAAAAATGAGAAGAATTAGGAAAGAATTTCGCATATAAAAGAATAGTTTCAAATAAAATACTGTACTACTAAAAGAAAATCATCAAACCAAATGGAACTTTACTGGGCCCAACGAACCAGATTGTCGACTTCTTCATCTTTCAGCAATGCATTATAATTTTAATGTAATTTTGAATCTAATACTTGTACTTTGTCCGATTTTTCTTCAAAAAACTATTTCAATGACTATTGATTCAACTTTTTTTTAATAGATAAACTAATTTCCTTGCTCCCGTATTCTGTACTCATATCGAGAACAAAGCGTCTATTAACTTCTTTATTCCTACTTCAAAACCTTAAACCAACTCGACATTTCGAACGAGATTCTCCAGTAACAAGCACATGCACGCTTTGTTTTTTGAGCATAGTGTACGTATAACCTCTTGTCTGTTTTCTTTTAAAAATGATCATCTTCGGCAAACAACGCGTTCCAATGAAAAAGACCTTTGCTACTACTGGTCTCTCTCTAAAAACAAGTGGATGCCCGAGCAAAAATAAAAGATTCTGAAGCCCGCACAGCGCTTCAGAATTGTTAACCGTCTAATCATTGCCAAGAATTATAGTTCATAATTCGAGGACGTTCGCGATTGAATGATCCTTGAAGAGACGGTTATTAAAAACATAATTCTAGTCGATGATCGCTCATCCACGCTCGCTACTACAACCTTTGATTAAGGATTGATTAATGTTGAGAGTTTTACAGAATTTTCAAAACAAATTGTTAAAAACATTGATCTTCAACTGAAGTCGTCTGTCCAACGTTCATTTGCTACTCGTGCAGTGTAATCACACTCCAAATTTCGCTCTCACGTTATTTTGGAGCGTGAGAGTATGTAATATGCGTAGTGAAGCTTTCACAACTACTAAAAATGTTTGGCATCACACACCCGTGCTCACTAATATCGCAGTTTTTTTACAGCAAGAACTCTATATATATTTATAGCAATGGTAACTTACTTACTATTGGTAAGTAACTAACTCTTTCTTGTGGACTGGATGAGTGTTTTTTCTTACCAATAAAAGATTGTCACACATCCTCGAATAATGAGGATTTTTCATTTGGTGTTAGATGGCGCGTACCGACAGTTATGCAGACTAACAAAAATATTTCGATTTTTTTTCCTTTATTTGAGCTTGTCAAACAAGAGTTCATCAAGATTATGAGGTGAAGAGTAGGAAAAATTTTCTAGTCAATATTTAATCGCCCGACTTGAAGATGTACTGGATGTTAAATTACGTCAAATTAGATTCAGTCGAATCTATGAAGAATTCGAAGAAAAACAAATATTTCAGCATTTAAATGATAATAAAGCAAATCAACGTTTCTCGCGGAAAATCGGTACATCTTTGAAATTGATTTCATCGCCTGTACCGATGCTCAACCAAAACTGAACTGAACCGATGCTCAACCCAACTGAAAAACAATGGCGAAGGTTTTGTATCTATCATTAAACCACTTGCACAACCGAAATCAGCTACAGAATATATATTTCCGAACTTAGGCGGCGGAGCCCTTAGGCTTGGGAACAGTGTTATCGATTAGGGGGTGGCATACCACCCCCTCGTTTGGATACAGTTACTCAAAAAGTTTTGACTTATTCAGAAACTTTTTAAGAAATTTAAGTTGAGAAACTGCCTTTTATGCACCTGAGTAACTCATTTATTCACCGAGAAACTCGCTTTTGTGCGCCTGAGTAAGTGATTTTCTCCAGCTTCTGAGTAACTCATTTATTTACTGAGAAAGTAAGTCTTCAATTCGCTTAAAACATGCAGTTACTCAGAAAAAAATTTTGGTCCAAAAATGCGTTTTACTCAATAAAAAAAGTTAGTTACTCAGCAGACTCTCCACCCCCTATAAAAACTACTATCGAAAGCACTGCTTGGGAAGGCTCAAGTCTCCCCTAAAAAAAGGAAAGAAAGGCTGGGGATGGCTCAGATATTTTGATTGATTTCCTTCCATCATTGTTTGAAAAACGTTTTTGAGTCTCCCCTAGATTAGAATCGTTCCACCGCCTAAGTTTCCGAACCAATTTCAAGAAAATTCGATTGACGATAATTCTCTATTCAAACTTGTGAAAACGAATCAACGACAGCACAAATTAGTGATCAGTGAAGGTTCACTTAATCAGA